ATGAAGACTAAGGAGTTTAAGGAACACCACTGATTTGCTTTAGGAACCATGTGGAGCTCATTTGGAACACACATCAGCATTTTCTTAATATGTCAGCAATCTCTCTTATCATGTAAGATTAATTTATTAAATAGAAAAAAAATTAGGAACTGAATTTTAACTGAGTTAAAAGTTCAGGAATTGAGTCGTACCAAGTTATAGTTGAGGGACTAGATCATAACTGAGTTAAAATTTAAAGAACCAAAAGATTACTTTTTGCTTCAAATTAATATTTCAGTGGAGAAACTTTTGTTGATGTAAACATGAGCGTGCAATGACACTAAAATTTTCCCTTCAAATTAATATTTTACAAATTTGTTTATTTTTATAATTTGAAGTTTGAAAATTATCTAAAATTTTAGCATGGCATCAGAGACGTGGACTTTGCTTTTGTGATCTATTAATCTACAAGGAAGACAGATCACGCTGATATTTTAAAAGATTACTTTAATCGATAATTAGAGCTTTGACGATGTGATAAGCTCTGATATCATGTTAAAATATATAACTCAAAAATATATTTTACTAGAAACTCATTTTCTTTATTGAATCATTTTCGTACACTTTATATAGTGTTTAGAATATAATACATGTATACCAAGTGACAATTGTAAGCTTAACAACTCTAATCAAAATTAGAACAGAATATTGATTAATATTACTAATAGAGAGAATTATTAAACAAGAAATTAAAAAACAAATCAAGCCTAAAACATATAGGTAGGGCGTTCAAATCTAAATCAAGTAGTATCACCATCATCCTTGACCGTAATGGTGACTTTGTCACTGAGACTGATGCATTTTAGAATATCATACATGTTTTTAAGATTCACGTTGATAGAAATTAGAATGTCGCAGTGATAGTAGTCAAAGCCCTCATCTTTGAGGAGCAAAGTCACGCAGGTGACAGGGAAGGCATCCAGAGACCGGAGCTTGCGTTCGTCGGGATCACAATCAAAGTTAGAGCTCTTTGATTGTCTTGATGACTTCTTTGAACAATAAATGTTTATCAAGACAGAGTTGCAATGTTCTCTAGCTCTGCAATTTGCACTTGCTGGGGATGTTGATTTCAAGTCTCTAAAAAGAGAGATAAATGTAGAGGGTTTATATACTGATGTGTGCAAACATGTTTTTGTTTATTTTTGACTTTATCTTCCAAATTTCATAATTGAGCTATAATTTTTAAGAATTTAATGATAATTTTCTAAAACTTGACAATAATTCTTAACATTGTATATTAATTTTAATTAAAAATTTACAATATTAAATTTCTTTTTATATTGATTTAATTAAGAATAACTATAATGTTAAATTACTTCTTTATTTTTTATTTTTTCCCCAACTGATCCTTCTCATATTTACAGCTTTCTTTCAAATTTCACAACTGATCTGTATTTTTTTTTTCAGATTATTAATACCTTCTTATAAGTACATAATTAAATATAAATAAGTATCATTTTCAAAATTAATTAAATTAAATTTATAAGTAGCAATACAAAACAATCAAATACATAAATATATATATTTTACTACAAGCGTAAATTCATATTTCAGGTTTATTCCCAGGATTTGAGAATTGCATTTACTTGTACATGTAAGTTGTAACCTCGCCCACGACACAGCTTAAATATACAACTAACCCATGTGTCAAACTGAAACATAAGCCTATACTTGTATTGGTAAAATACCCTTTTAATAATTGCCACTGTTAATGTAAAATCTCTTTAACAAAGTCAATAAATAGAGATGGTTTAGGAAAAAAATTTACAAATTAAATTGAAGCATTATATTTAGAATTAAAGCAAACATTTTGTTGGAATATGTTTAAACTGAAGAGATGTATTTTTTGAAAAGTCATATGTAAACTTATTAATAAATTTATATGAAGGGTTATGTTCTCATATAAATTACTCCTCCGGTCCTTAATATACAACCGAATTGTTGAATTGGTTTTGATTCTAAATATAAGACCCATTTACCATATTTATTAATTTTCTCTAAGTTACCTTTATGGATACTCTCTCAACCATAATCAAGTAGAAGAGAAAAATGGGGTATTAAGAAAGATGATTATGGTATTTTAGGAAAAACATGTCATGTTTTTTATAACTAACTAATTTACCTAACTTTTTCAATCTAATCAAACTGATTAAATGGGTCTTATATTAAGGACCAGAGGAGTAATATATTTATATGAGGGTTGTGTCTTCATACAAGTTAATATATATTTATATGAAGAGCTACGTAGGATTTTGATTTCTAAAGGCATAAATAAAAGGTGCAGTAGTAACCACCACTTAGTGAAAGGTTGTGTTGTTTTCTTAAGACAACCCTACATATTTAAAAAGTGTAACCCTTCATGAAAAGAATATTAAATATCCTTTAGTTATTTAAATTATATTGGTTTATGAACCAACATATGGTTATAACTTTTAATTGAAGAGGTATTACTCCAAGAGGTATCTCTTTAAGACATCACTCCATAGTCTATATAAGCCCCTCTCCATCATTCTATTTGGGAAAGACGAGAAAGATACAATACAACACCAACACACTATGATCAAACACATTGATAGAGTCAAATTATCACTTTGTAAATATTATTGTTGTCTTGGCTTGAATCTTGAAAATGCAATTCATATTTAAGAGTCTTCATTGTATCTTAAAGAAAATTCATTGAGCAATCCAACTTACCCCCTATAAAATAGGAATAAGTGGAGGTGAACTAAGTCTAAAGAAAAATATAGTACACACTTTAAAGATATCATGCATCACTTTTTTCATCTCTTTTATTTTTGGCTAAAGTATATATTTAGTCTTTTAACTTTGTACAAAATTTCAATTTGGTCCCTTAATTTTAAAAAGTATAATTTTAGTCCTTTAACCATAAAATTTTTTTAAAAAATGATGACAGTAAGATCTTAAATGTTAATAAAATATTCTCAAATACTAACATATTAAATTTAATTTTCAAAATATCCAATATTGTTACAAAAAAATATCATTAAAGCCTGATAATTTTAGGGTTAAAGGACCAAATGTATGTTTTTTAAAGTTAAAGGATCAAATTGAAATCTTATACAAAGTTAAATGACCAAATATATACTTCAACTTTTATTTTTTTACTCTTCAGATAACCATTCTCATAAACCCTTTTCAATTAACTCATATAATCAGGAGCTGAGAGAATATGAAAAATACATCAATTGATTTCTTCTATTTTTTTGGCCATAATTACCAATTGCAACTCAGTGTTCTTCTTCCTCTTCCCATTTCTTTAATCAATAATTTTTTAATGGAAAAAGATATGATTCAGTATTGCCTTCCAGGGAGCTTGACACAAGGATTGTATGGGCTTATCGAGCTCAGGACCTCCTCCTATTATCTAGTTTCCCATATTGGGCTTAGGCCCTGTCCAGTTGCCAAGGAAAAAAATTGCCGAAGGTTTCTCGTCACTTTCAGAATTCGTTTCAAAATGAAAAAGGGAGAATGAGATAGAAGGGCCAGTAAGAAGCGATATGTATAAAAAAAAATCATAAAAATTAAAATTTTTTAAAAGGACTAAATATTCAAATATAAATTTAAAAATACTACATTGTTCCTATTCAAACCTCCTACGTTTTTTCCCTGTATTCCCTCTTACATTTTATTTTTAAAACTAATATGAATTAATAAATTTTACTAAATTAAACATAATTTCTCTCAATTTACAACCTACATGAAAATTAATTCAAAAAACACAAAAATATTGTTCAGTCATGTAAAAATTGAAGTTTTATTTTCTTTATAAAAATTTAAAATTTTCTTTTTAAATATATAATTCATTATATAAAGATTTCAAAAATATTTAAAGAAAATTATTTCTTTAAATTTCTTAACATTACATGACTTTTTTTACTTTTAAATCTGATATAAATTTCTTATAAAATAAAACAATAAATTATATTAATTTTCTTTGAATTTCTGAAAATCATGTATATAATAATTATATAATAATCTAAATTTTAATAAAATTATGTAACTTTTATTTTCAATTAAAATATGTGACAGTTTTAAAATAAAAATTTTAATTTTTATAAAGAAAATAAATAATTTTACATGAATGAACAACGTTTGCATATTTTTTAAATTGATTTTTACACAGGTTGTAAACTCTGAGATAAATCAAGTTTAATTTAGTAAAATTTGTCAATTCACATTTGGTTTAAAAATAAAATGTAGGAAGGAATATAGGAGAAAATGTATGAGGTTTGGATAGGGATGGTATGATATTCTTAAATTTATATTTAAATATTTAGTCATTTTAAATAATTTTAATTTTTATGATCCTCTTTCATAAATATCAATTCTTATTAGTCCTTCTCTCTAATTCTCCCAATGAAAAACGTTTTTAAATTGAACCGATTTTTCCTGTTTTCATAAGGATAATAAGGCTTTCAAATTAATAAGAGTTTGTTTTCCCCACGTTAGAGCTAATGAGTCCGATTTACTTTTGGTGATAAAGATTGCAATAAGTTGAGACTTTCGGCATATTGAAGTAAATTCTTTCCGTGGATCGCAGGAGAGAGTTAACGCTAGTCAGGATAATATTACAATCTCAATATATAAATATACACACATTTTCGTATTTTTCATACCCAAATTTCCTTTTGTGTCATTTTTTTCATAACTAGTCATCATTAGTAGTTGGCAAGGGAATAAGATATTCAACTGTTTCCTGTGCATTCTCCTGTGGGCAACTCTTTGAAAAACAAAAGAACACAAAATGAGTTAATTGTGAATGAAAGAACACAAAATGAGTTAATTCTTAGATGGAGAAATAAAACAAGATAAATATAAGTTTATTAAATTGGTGCCACCACTACAACACAAAGGATTTTCTAAAACAGAAAAAAATTGCAAGGGACCTACTAAATCTTTATTGCATACATATGTTCCTATCTTCAAAAGGAGACTCCTAATCACTTTGGAAAATCAAAAGCTGTGACTGAATTTGGAGGAAGCTTGAAAGTCAAGTCCTTTCCAGCAATCTCCAAAGGACTTTGCACCAAAGTTATCTGCACACATAAAAACATACGTAAGAAATATATTTTTCAAAAGACCTTTTTTTGTAACTCACAGACCAATTTTAATACAATTACTGCAAATTAACAAAAGGATACAGGTAATTATGCACCTTTGAAGGCTCTTTGAAGGAATTCTCATCCTTCACATTAGGAGATGTAAGCACCGTCTTTGTAGCCTTAGATAGTTTTGCATTTGCGTCTAAACCATTGAAAGTGATCTTGAAAGTGGCTGGATTGTCATTGAAGTTCACAACCTACACAAATATTTTTGAATTTCTAATGAGAAAAACACAAATTGTAGGTTTTTTGGTTGGAATCGAAGATAATCATGGATTAATTATTGTATACCTTTACTCTTATGTAACTCTTGTTGTCTACTGAACTCGTGTAAGCAATTGCAGATGCAACAACTGATGAAGAAGCTTGAAGTGTTGAGTTCAAATATGTTGCTCCACTAGATTCTGAGAATAGTTTTTGTAGATAATAGCTTGGGGTTCCATAACTTTGATGAGAATTAAATACAATAGCATCGGGCATCCACCTATATATATATAATTATTCAGAAACAAATTTCATAAATCTTAACCATGTAAAATGATGGATGAGAAAGCTTATGGTGAAAAAGACATGAAACATTACCTTCTATCATTTGTATGAACAAAGAGCGGTGCGTAGCTAACCAATTCAACAACCTCACTGTTTCAGCTCACAAGGTAAATGAAAATAATCAATTAGTGGCTAACTAACTGAATGAGTAGGTGTGGAAATTTACGATTCAACAATAACATACCTATTTTTCTCTAATCCCATAAGGAATGCGGCTTCGCCCAATGCAGATAGGAGACTTCCACTTCCTGCATCTTTACCAGTAACGGCGTATTCACTAACAAATGCTTTAGGGCCGGAACGAGGCACATTATCAAACTTAGTGTACATTGAGAAGAAAGTCTTGGCACTTAAATATCTATGGAAGTCATACAAATCTGCTGGATGCTTCAATGGTTTATCAGTGGCATCACAGTTTGATATAATTTGCATATCTGGATATGCATGCTTTATGGCATTATAGAATTTGAGGTAGTTTCCTTGGTAATTCTTCTTATCACAATCCTCATTCCCAATTGAAACATATTGCATATCAAAAGGTTTGGGGTGACCCAAAGAAGCCCTTACTGCACCCCATCTTGATGTGGTAGGACCTCTTGCAAATTCAATACCATCAAGAGCTTCCTAAAATTTAATTGACAAAAATAAATTAAATGAACTTATAGAAAGATCATTAACTAATAAGAAAGGAATTTTTTTTAAAAAAAAAAGAAGAGTATATACTTGAACCATAGGGTCAACATCACTAGTATCAACTTCATCATGATGACTAATACCATTATTAAATACCCATATTGGAGTAGTGCCAAGGTCTTCCGATAACTGTTTCAAAACAACAAAAATGTTCAATGATTATTCTATATAACAATGTTTAGTCTTGAATTTGAGAATTGATAGGAACTTACCTGAAGAAATTCTAAATAGCCAAATCCATCATCAACCCAATAACCCCACACATCATTAAGGTGACCAGGTCTCTTCTCCCATGGTCCAATAGTATCCCTCCACCTAAAGGCATTTCTCAAATAATCACCTTCAACATAACAACCACCTAATCCAATGGAAAAAATCCTAGGTGAGTATAATAGAAATAAAAAAAAAAAGAAAAAAGAATCTGACAAAACTTTTTTATTTTAAGCATTTTTTGTATCAATTCAATGCTCACCAGGAAATCTAAGAAATCTCGGTTTCAAATCAGCCACCATTTCAAAAAGATCTTTCCTAAAGCCATGCCCCTGATTAATTATTAAAAATGGAAAAAAAATATAGAATGTGTTAGAAAAATAAATTCTCATTAAAGTTTTTAATATGCTTAAAAATGATGAGTTGATCAATATATGCAAGACCTTATATGTATCCAAAGGCATTGCTGAGACTTGATCCAACCAAATAACTCCATTCTGGTTCGTTGTCAATTGAAGACTTGCTTGAACATCTGAAGCTTTTGCTTCTAGGATAGTCTCAAACCTTTTCCACTGTGCAACATAAGTTGCAAAAGCCCTAAAAAAGTAAAATCAATTTTAGTGTGTGTGTATATATATATATATATATATATATATAAATAGGAAGCAACAGTGCATGCACATATAGTGAAATTGCTAAGTACTCGATGTTATTTGAGGCCAACTCTTTTCCATCTGCTCCTGTAAATGCCACTTTCAAATTAATTGGTCCCAAGGCACGAAGGTGGAATACAACTCTATACTTCTTCCCTTGCTCAATATTCTAAAAGAATTAAAAATAAGAAATACACAAGAATCAGAATAGTAGTGATGTTATATATAATTGAACAAATAGGTCTTCAAATATATCTATATAAAATAGATAGAGAGAAGCTTCATCACCATTCCCCAAAAACCAGGGTTAGAAAGACCAACGCCATTAGGGCATGTAGCAGGAGAAGGACAATGGATATCCATTTTGACAGCCATTGGATTAGTTGGAAACAAGGAGGTAGGTTCTGCTTGGACATTAATATATGATCTATCTCCGATTATTGTCCATGGAGAGATGCTTGAGGGAAGTGCTGTACCTCCAGCTTCAAAACCTAAACCCATACAACAGTACAACAAGTTTAATCATATTCTTAATCATGATTAGTTTGAAGAAGAAAAGTCTTAATTAGAGAGAGATTATGAACATTGAGATCGCTTTTACCTCTATTATCGACAAGTTCTGCCCATAATCCTCCAGCTCCAGCATGATTAATTTCCTACATGAAAAAGTGAATTAGTCTTTTTTTGGACTACGTGAAAAGCATATATATATATGCATTAAATATTGCATGAAATGTTGACCTCAAAAAATACTCCAAAGAAATGTTTGGAGATTGGCTTTCCAGAACCAATATCTACAACTAATGTGGCAGTATTATTGCCATCAGCAGCAAGACTTTGGAATGGAAGCAAAAGAGAAAAAGCTATGGATAGAAGAGCATAAAATGTAAGCTTAGCAGAAGCCATAATTGATATTCACTTCTGGATTTAGTGATGGTATTGTGTATGCATTTATAGCTTTTTAAATACAATACCTATTTGCATATTAATTGATATAATTACTTACTTTGCATTTTTATGATATCGTCGGATTTCAACCCCTTGATTTTGTGCAGCAATCTCTTGTGATCATGCGTATCGATCAAAATTCCTCATGATTTGTAGTGGTTATTTTCTTTGGATGAGTTATTTTATTAATTTACTTATTCAACCAACTATGCGATAATATTTTATGTTTGATTTCAAATAATTCCCTGGAAATTTATACCGGTAAAATGGCAACTAACAAAACTTAGAAACAGTAAAAAATACAAATATAAAGAACCGAAAGGAAGTGAAGAAAAAATAATCACATGAAGGCGACTTAGAATGAATGATCTTCTTCAAATTGAGAATTTAAATTTAGAAAAAAGAATTTAAATTTAAAATTAAAAAATGAGAGTAAGATTATGGGAGACTATGATGATGGGAAAATCATAACATAGCGAGTACGCCATTTTTTTTTAAAAAAAAACTTGTAACATAATTGTAAGCTTGGTGAAAAGAGTACGTAATCTCTAATCCCTTATATGGTCAATACTAATTATTATGTTGCACTTAATAACTAATTTGTAGTTAGTATGATTAAAGATTGATAATTATCCTATATATTATTTTATATTCCTCTGGTTCTAAATATAAGACTCTTTTTGTAGTGTAATTTTTACACTAAAAAAAATCTTATATTTAGGACTGGAAGAATACAATTTTATTAAGAAATGTTAGTGGCTCAATAGTTATATCTCTTTTGGGTCATTAAAAAGTGGTAAAATCAAATCCCTCCTTGATTCAAAGTTTTGCTAAAAATTGTCCAGCTATCGCTTACCGGGTCACATTTTTCTTCAAAGAGTGAGGGACAGCAGGCATAACATTCAGAAATCTCAAATTAATCACATGGACAGATTTGAAATTTATTTAGCTGGGGATACTGATTTGGGGTTTCAGTATTTCAAGGGATTTTAATGAGATTTTCCCTAATAATATTAAATTTATAAACTAGGATTAGATTTGGGGAACCCTTCCACAAGGCTCACGTGGCTCACTTTTATTTGCCCATGAGCCCGTAAAAACTATTAATTAAGTATCTTTCTGGTCTTTAATATAAGACCTATTTAACTAAGTTGATTAGATTAAAAATTTTAAGTAAGCTAGTTAATTATAAGAATTAAGAAATGTGGCATGTTTTTCCCAAAACACCATAATCATCTTGTTTAATATCTTTCATTTTTCTCTTATTTGATTATGATTTAAGAAGTATCAATAGAGATAATTTAAAATAAATAAATAAATATAAAAAATAAGTCTTATTTTTAGAACTAAGATTAACTTAATAATTATATCCTATATTAAATTTTTTTTTTCATACAATCCTACATTGATTGGAGAAGTAGTAAATTTTAATTTCCAAAACACAAAGCCCCGACCTGATGGGTCTGCCGCGTTTGTAGATACCCTTTAGGCCCATCAAAATTCGCCTTTCAAGCCGGAAAGAAAAAGACAATCCGCGAGCACAAAAAGCGAATGAAACCATTTAAAAAAAAAAAAAAGAAAGAAAAGAATGAAAGAAAGAAAAACAAGGGATCATCAGTAATTCTCCAGGCTCTTGCTCTCGCCGCTCACGCCTTCCTTTGTTCTTTCAGACCCCGACACTTCGCTTCATGGCCAACTCCAGGTATTGCATACCTCCAATGCTTGTTTCCCGAGAAAATCCGAAAGAAGCACTTTCCTTACACTCGTGGCTTTAAAATCTTAGCCATTGTCGTTTTTTCCTTTCTTCCAAACAGCTGGGGTCATTAACTGTGCTGTGAGTGTGACTATCTGTTTCTGCGACTGAAATCACTCTCTTTCTTTGAATAGGCGGCTTAGGGCATTCAAGCGATGGATGGCATCCCGGGGTTTCGAAATCAGCGATGGCCTGGAGTTCGTAGACGATCCCGGAAATGGAATTGCGGTGAGAGCTTTGTGCCAGTTGAAGGAAGGCGATGTTGTTGCCAGAATACCGAAGGATGCTTGCCTGACGATTAAGACTAGTGGGGCGAGTCAAATGATTGAAGACTATGGTTTGGCTGGTAATCTGGGACTAGCAGTGGCTCTAATGTATGAGAGAAGCTTGGGCGAGAAGTCACCCTGGGCTGGCTACCTTCAGGTTTTGCCTCACCAAGAGTGCCTGCCGTTAGTGTGGACTCTGAACGAAGTGAACGAGCTTTTGAGTGGAACTGAGCTACACAAGGTATTTATGATTGTTGTTTGTCATAAATGTGCTTTGTAAGGATCATTTGGCCTTACAGAACAATGCCTGTATATGATGGTGTTGCATTAATTAATAATTAACTGCTCGAATTTGTTTTGTGGAGAAAAAAAAGCAAGCGAAAGTTTGGGTTTATTGATTATGTGTGTTTTAATTACAGATGAGTTTTACCATGCATTGGGTTTTTTCTCCTTTTGATATGTGCTGCTATGATCACATCGGAACCTGCCTTTTTTCTGTGTATTATTATTTTGTCATGCTACTTTTAAGTTTTCTGATCTCTAGGCAGACGGTGCAAGAGGACAAAGCTCTTATGTATGAGGACTGGAAAGAGAATATTCTGCCCGTCTTGGATTTTTCACCTTCAAAGCTTAACCTAAAATATTTCGGTGTAGAAGAATATTTTGCTGCAAGAAGTCTTATTGCTTCACGAGCTTTTGAGATAGATGATTACCATGGCTTTGGCATGGTTCCCTTGGCTGACCTGTGAGTAAGACCTTTGACGATGTCCTCTATATGTCTTGCAATTTTTTCTAATTTAGCATATTAGAATCCGCTATACTATTCCTTGAAGTATAATAGATTAACTTGAATCTGCTTTTTGTTGTTCCTATAATATGTCTGTCTGCAGTGATAAGTTGCAGACTTGCGCGTTCAAACATCATTCTAAGTTCTAACCTTCACTAACCAACACATAGTTTATATCACAACCATGCAAGTGGTTAAGGAACGAAATGTGTGCAATTATGGAGCTATCATCTCTACCTCAATTGGTGATATCTCTCTACTTGTCTTAAAGGACTCATACGTCTAATGTTCATTTGTGATACTCACTTCCTGTTATTTTGTGTCTTTTCAACATGGTGTTGCCCTCTTAAGATGTTAAATACATTGGATTAAAAGAACTCCAAATCTGTCATATCTCATATGGCATTTCATGTGAGAATACCATCCAAATTTCCTTTCCAGTGAGAAGAAGCACAGTTGAATGAATGATTTTTGATACTAGACATGTACTTATTTTATTGTGTTTTTAATTGAAAATTTTGTTGATTGATTTCAATATTTTAAATAGTCTTATTAATTGCTTTTATTTTTCTGTTTTCTTGCTAATATTAACTACACATTTTTAAAATTTTAAGTAATTTTCCACCGACTAATTGTTACTTATTTTATTTTATTTGAAAAATAGGTACTTTTCAAATCTGAGTACCCAAAATAACTTCAAATATGAAATAAACAAAATAAGATGAAATAGCTCAACTTACATGATGATACTCAGAAGAATTTGGTCTAAGTGTGAATTAGTTTAAACCGGAGATGTCAATAACTCAATTTACATAAATGATTAATTGTTCTCAGTCCATATTAGTCTATTTCTCCACCTAATCTCTATTAGGTTAGGGACTACTTCCATTAAAATCCAAGTTTAATTTACCTGAACTTTAATTGATTAGGGACACCTCTTAACATACTAAATCATGTTATTCCTCAATTTATACTATCTTGCTGGTGGTCTAAGCTAAAAAGTTATTTTGGGTGGGAGAGATGATAGTGTAGATATGCTGTTGTTTGCTGTGGTTTTTTTTTTTTCCCCATAGCTATACTTAGGCCTCACATGGCTGATGGAACTACATTTTTTATTATAATTGAACCGTCTAACTTCCCTGGTAATGCAATTGATTGATATTTCTTTCTATTTTTGACTAGATGGCTTTATGCAGTACTAAGATGAGAATGGTTTATTGTCTGATATGTCTATCCTTTGGGTGCATGGAAACGTCACTCCACTCCATGTGGATGCAGATTGTACCTTATTAGGATATGTGTTCTAAGCGTATGCATGGGCCAAAAAAAAAAAAAGGATATTCAAGTGGAAACTGTATACTGCATTCAACCACCCTCATGGTTTAAGTTGACAAACTCCAAAAACTTACGAGATGATCATATAACAAAAATGAGAGAATGATTTTCATTCATTTATTAACAGGGTAGAGGTCGATGCATAGAGGGGAGAGATGAACAACAAGCATGCTATTCACTCCCCAAGATTAAGCTGAGAATCATGGGCCACTTAAACGCCTGATAAAAGCATTCTAGAAAAGGAAATATTCTGGAAAATAGTCCACCAACACATGGAAAATTTTTGTGCCATCTGCACAACTATTAATCCTGCATACAATCTGTTAACATCGTGGTCTGTAAATCAATCGAAATGGGGTGGCTCTAAGGATGCGTCCTTAATCTCATTGTCAACCGTTTAGCAAATAACGTATTCATGGTTATGCGATGGCAAAATGCATGTTATGATAATTGAAGATGCCAAATCCTTCCTACATTAATGATCTGTTCTGATCTACTTTGAATTTCAGATTCAATCATAAAACAGATGCTGAGGATGTGCATTTCACTGCTGTATCATCAAACTATGATAATGATGATGATGGAAATGAGTGTGTCACTGATGAAGAAGAATTGGCTGAAAATTCTTCAATGGATGGGACTGAGTTGGATACTGCTCTTATTGGGAAATACAGTGATGGCAACTTGGAGTCATCCTCAGTTGTGGGAGATGATTCTTCAATGTTGGAGATGATTATGATAAAAGATGTCAGCGTTGGAGCTGAGGTAAGAATTTTCTTTTCCGTTTCGTGATGTGTGGCTTCATTCAACCTTCTTT